GAGGTCGTCAGTATAATGAGCTTTTTTCTCCCTACCTACGATTTTGCCAGCGCGCATCCAAGACATTGGAAGGGGCACATCGCTAGAGAAAGTAAATAAAGTATACCATTCTCTGAAATACATAATCACAATACAAGACACAAAAGGAACTATATGTTACCTCAAGTCAATAATAAAAAGACATTAAAATAAAACTTTTTCAAAAGAAGGGGCAAATGTAATGATCTCGGTAAAGGCTTAAAAGAGGCTAACTTTAGTAATTTAGAATTTAACTTACTATAAATAATGTCAAATACATTCAGCGGCCTGAGTTACAGGTTTAGATTCTAGCTGCTAAAATTGCTGTACAATTGCAAAAAGATTTAAAACCTGTAAAATTCTAAAATGACAAATGGGTATTATACCTGTTTAAATTTCGTACGTTTCCAGAGCAGGTAATCCTAATGCTTCAATTGTTCTTTAAATGTTTTTTGCGTAATTAAATACAACTATCAACTATGTATCATTTAAATATCTAGTTAACTAAATATGAAGACTGGAAAAACTTTGGCACTTTAGTTGTCCGAAGCACCTAGTTCACTTCAGTCTCTGAAGAAGGTAAGGACAACTAAAGTGTCGTGTTTTAGCGTTGGGATTTGAGCTGTTTTGTTTGTTCTATCTAATTAATTGATATCTAAGTTGACGTAGAAAGACGCAACAAATCAATTGTATACTAATTATATTTTATATGAGTGCTGGATAGCCTGATTAAAAGAAGTTCGCCGAGTTGAGCAGCTTCAATATTTCTGGCGGTAATTCAAGAAATACTTTATTACCTCCAAGTACTGTAATCCTGTCGAGAAAGATATCCTTCGCTTTTATTAACTTCACATTGCACTCGAATGCTCCATCCCAACTTATAACTTACAGTGCGCTTTCAAATTGTACTTCTTCTAATAAACAGCACCGCTAGGTTTGCTTTAAATTGTACAATGTAGCAACACGTTCCCACTTTCAAAGAATAAATTGTATTTTCACCTTTCAACGTTTTAATCCTAGCTTTATGACGGATGCACTTTTGTAGTTCCTCTTTAGTACACGTATTAAAACAAGAATAAACCACGACTTTACTTTATCTCTCTTCTACAACTTGATTTAATATTTCTAAAAACTACATCACAAACTTTATATAGGTACAATTCACCTACATCGTCAATTACAATTCATTACAAACGTAAATAAATTGTCAAATAGCGTAAAAATTGTTTACAACTTTGTATTTAATAGAATTAAATGGACAAATACTTATGGAGACAATTAATTGTGCTATTAACCATTATCAGTGTCATCAGTCCTAGAACTGGTTGGACACACACTTCCACTTTTTTCTTTCCAGAGCTAATCTTCGCATTTCCCTAAAACTAATATATCCCACATCCTTAACTATTTACGTACAGTAATCTAATCTAGGTCTACCTCTACTCTTCTTAACTCCTGTTTCTGCTTCTAATATGTCTCTGACTAGACCTTCATGCCTGAGAAGGTGTCCTACCAACCTATCTCGCCTATTTCTTACTGACTTCCATAGAGTCCTCTGTTCTCCTATTCTTTCTAATACCTCGTCACTTCTAAACTTCTCTATCCACGGTATCCTCATCGTTTGACACATTTTGAATGCTTCTAACCTTTTCTTTCTCCCCGCACCCACCGTCCATGTTTCGCACCCGTACAACGCAGTGCTCCAAACATACACCTTTAACAACTTTTTTCGAATTTCCGAATTAACCGTTTGCGAGCATAGAAGTGATTTCCTTTTATTAAAGACGACTCGAACCTCCGCTATCCTTTGCTTTATATCCCTAACACTCCTTGCGTCCTGACTTATCTAACTTCCTAGATACAGAAAATCAGCCTCGTCTAGTTTTTCGTCTCCCAACTTTATTCGCTCTTTCCCTACTTGTTCTTCCTTTGAACACCAATATTTTTGTTATACTTTTATTTATTTTCATACAATACTGTTTTGTCAATACTGCCTCCATTTTCTTTAAAGCTGTCTCCCTGCTATATCATCTGCAGATCTGAGCGTACTAATCTTTTGCCTCTGTATGTCTATTCCTACAGTTGTAGTGTATTTAATTATGTCGATACTGTGCTTTTATGGAAAATTAAAATCAATTTCCTATAAATAATGGTAGATAATTGCCTTTACTACTAATTTGTATGCCGTGATGCCTTATTAAGTCTATTTATTTAAAGATACTTTTATACAATCAGATTATACGTACGAATCTGCTTTGCTACATGTTTCAAGCAAATTTCAAAGCTACTGGCGATGAAGTGATTAAAGGAGTACGTTAATTTTCCACTCCTGCTAACACATATAAGCAAACGTATCTCGCTAAAACAGGAATACTTAGCCCCAAGGAATTCGCACAATACAGTTCGATAACATAATTTAAGACTTTGTATGAGAAAATTATAACTTTGAGAAAGCTTATTGAAACAGCATCCTGTTTATTGATTTATTATATACCTACTAACCTACTCTAATAGAGAAGATGCATTTATTTAAAGGTAAAGAACATAAATATTGTATACTTATATGCACCTATTCATCAGGTATAAAAGAGACAGGAAGGAAAGACAACGGTTATGTTTCAAAAATTTAATTTTAATTGTACTAATCCCTACCGCAATCCTCCAAATCGCGCTGTTACAAGGACAGCGCAGATACAAATCTCCTTATCTTTCTGGTCACCTTGTAGTATAAAGTAGCTAAACCCGTTCATATATTTCGTAAATTTTGACATTAAATATTTAATGAATGCCGAATAAACAAACTGTGTAAAATTGTATTTTTAAAAACAATTTATCCTGAACTGGTGTTGTCCTGCTTCCACGCCACGTTCGGCATCGAAATAGAACCTCTGAAGAAACTCGCTAATGCTAGCAAAACGTAGGAAGCAACTCCAACCGACGCGACGGCCTTTACACCCGAATCAGGACAACACCAGTTCTCCAACTGGCCGCGAAAGCCTTTAACAATTTATTCTTCTCAGCATTGTGGCGCATCTGGCATGCCTCGTTTAGTAATGTTTACATCTGAAGAATCACACTATTCGACCCACAAATTTGCTGCCTTTTTGGGTATAGGAGAAGATAACGTAATAGGAGTTAAAACAGATGATGTCGGAAGAATAATCCCGGAAGATTTGGAACGTACAATTGCAGAGGAACAAGAAAAAGGGGGTGTACCGTTTATGGTAGTTGCAACCATGGGTAAGGAAAACTTAATCCATCATCATCATAAGGTCGTCAATCCTAAGACTGTGGTTAGACACGCACCTCCACCCTTTCGTATCATGAGCTAATCTTCGCATTTCCCTAAAACTAGAACATCCCACATCCTTAACTATTTGCGTACAGTAATGTAATCTGAGTCTACCTCTACCTCCTCTTAACTCCTGTTTCTGCCTCTAATATGTCTCTGACTAGACCTTCATATTTGAGAAGGTGTCCTACCAATCTATCTCGCCTATTTATTTCCATAGAGTCCTCGGTTCTCCTATTCTTTTTTAATACCTCTTCATTTCTAACCTTCTCTATCCACGATATCCTCATCATTCGCCTGAAACATTACATTTCGAACGCTTCTAACCTTTTCTTTTCCGCCGCGCCACCATCCATGTTTCGCACCAGTACTGAGCCGTGCTCCAAACATACACCGTTAAAAATTTTTTTCGAATTTCTAAACCGTTCGCGAGAATAGAAGCGACTTATTTAATTGAAGGCGACTCGACCCTGCGCTATGCTCTGCTTTATATCCCTACTATTCCTTCCTGACTTACCTGACTGCCTATATACCTAAAATCCACATTCATAGCGTCATTTTTATCATTTCTAAGTTTTTCTATCTACGGAATTTTCGTATATGTATCTCTATATCTAAAGCTTTACCATTATAACTTTTTTGACCTCCTAGATATCGACAATATTTATCTTTTCCTAGTTTTTCTTCTCCAATTTTTGAATTGACTTTTTAACCTCCCTTATATATGTACCAATATTTTTATTTTATTTTACCAAAAACCTTTATTTTCAACGTATCTGACGAGGGCGAAACAATTTAAAGAACATTCTCGTCTGGACACAAGTATATCTTTCAAATAAATCTAAATCAAGTGTAACGAAACTGGAAGCGCAACCATTTTTAAAATTTTGTTTCAGCGATAACAAGCTATTTGACGGTATTTCCGCTTGTAAATATTGTTATTGTGAGCACGTCTAACGTGTAACTGTTGTAAAACTAATTTAACTTTACCTGAAAGAAACTGAACGTAAGGTTTTGCAATAAAGCACTCGCGACACTTCACAGGTGAACGAGCTTTCACGGTGACTTACTTTCTATAATCTTCTCTGTTATTTATAGAGAAAATTCACCGGGAAAAGAGTGATAGATAAAACTTGAGAAAACATTCGATCAATTTTATTATCACTTCTTAAGTACGAATATTTTCATGTTGTTATATTTGATGGACTTACTAAATCGGTGACCTACATAATAAGTGAACTAAGGGCAAATTTAAATAAAAAGAATTCATAAATCGTATTTTCGTTGGTCGGAATTTACGATGTTTCACAATAAGCAATAAATTTTAATGTCAGAACATTGCTAGAACTTTGTAAGGTTCTATTCGATTTTGAAAACAGAATTTGTATTATTGCACAACTGAGTAATAAATTTTTTCTCTTTCATGTATAAAGAACATACCGCTACATGTTAACTGACATTATTTTGCAAGTGGTCCAAACAAGAAACTACCTCGGAATTTCCAGATTTATAGTGATACCATTATCAATTGGTGGCCTAATTATGAATTAATTCTTTCTTACATCCTTATAAATGTGCTACGGTCATAAAAAATTTTATGAAAATATATTTTCCGGGTTTATCTCCTTTTATCTTTATCTCGAAAAACATCGACTCAAAAATTTCGAAACGCTACAAGAAAATGGACTTTTCTTCGCCATTACTTTTGTATCTCAGGCAATAACTACCTTAATGTGTCCTGACGTTAACGAAATATTGTTTCGTCTGAACCCCGAACGACTTTCAGTAAAACAACCAACGTTTCGAACGATAAATCACTGTGCTAATGTGCTTCTAAATTTAAAGTCATGGTAGCACAACGACCAAGGAAAAAACGGCCTGCATACATTCTAATAGTAACCGCAAAAATATCACCCAAGAATTTATCGTTTCAGAATATGCAATATGTGATACGGTTTTTATTTTTTGGAATTGGTTTTAATAAGTTTCGCACAATTTTCAAAAGAATCGTTTTTAACCACAGGGCTTGGTCTAAGGGGGGGGGGGCAACTGTACAAATGAGGAGCGGTAAAATTAAGAGCGCCAGGCAGTTGCACGGTTAGAAAACTCTTATAAAAATTACAGTGATAAGCAACCACACAACAAAAAAATATATTATATTATANAGGACAACTAAAGTGTCGTGTTTTAGCGTTGGGGTTTGAGCTGTTTTGTTTGTTCTATCTAATTAATTGATATCTAAGTTGACGTAGAAAGACGCAACAAATCAATTGTATACTAATTATATTTTATATGAGTGCTGGATAGCCGGATTAAAAGAAGTTCGCCGAGTTGAGCAGCTTCAATATTTCTGGCGGTAATTCAAGAAATACTTTATTACCTCCAAGTACTGTAATCCTGTCGAGAAAGATATCCTTCGCTTTTATTAACTTCACATTGCACTCGAATGCTCCATCCCAACTTATAACTTACAGTGCGCTTTCAAATTGTACTTCTTCTAATAAACAGCACCGCTAGGTTTGCTTTAAATTGTACAATGTAGCAACACGTTCCCACTTTCAAAGAATAAATTGTATTTTCACCTTTCAACGTTTTAATCCTAGCTTTATGACGGATGCACTTTTGTAGTTCCTCTTTAGTACACGTATTAAAACAAGAATAAACCACGACTTTACTTTATCTCTCTTCTACAACTTGATTTAATATTTCTAAAAACTACATCACAAACTTTATATAGGTACAATTCACCTACATCGTCAATTACAATTCATTACAAACGTAAATAAATTGTCAAATAGCGTAAAAATTGTTTACAACTTTGTATTTAATAGAATTAAATGGACAAATACTTATGGAGACAATTAATTGTGCTATTAACCATTATCAGTGTCATCAGTCCTAGAACTGGTTGGACACACACTTCCACTTTTTTCTTTCCAGAGCTAATCTTCGCATTTCCCTAAAACTAATATATCCCACATCCTTAACTATTTACGTACAGTAATCTAATCTAGGTCTACCTCTACTCTTCTTAACTCCTGTTTCTGCTTCTAATATGTCTCTGACTAGACCTTCATGCCTGAGAAGGTGTCCTACCAACCTATCTCGCCTATTTCTTACTGACTTCCATAGAGTCCTCTGTTCTCCTATTCTTTCTAATACCTCGTCACTTCTAAACTTCTCTATCCACGGTATCCTCATCGTTTGACACATTTTGAATGCTTCTAACCTTTTCTTTCTCCCCGCACCCACCGTCCATGTTTCGCACCCGTACAACGCAGTGCTCCAAACATACACCTTTAACAACTTTTTTCGAATTTCCGAATTAACCGTTTGCGAGCATAGAAGTGATTTCCTTTTATTAAAGACGACTCGAACCTCCGCTATCCTTTGCTTTATATCCCTAACACTCCTTGCGTCCTGACTTATCTAACTTCCTAGATACAGAAAATCAGCCTCGTCTAGTTTTTCGTCTCCCAACTTTATTCGCTCTTTCCCTACTTGTTCTTCCTTTGAACACCAATATTTTTGTTATACTTTTATTTATTTTCATACAATACTGTTTTGTCAATACTGCCTCCATTTTCTTTAAAGCTGTCTCCCTGCTATATCATCTGCAGATCTGAGCGTACTAATCTTTTGCCTCTGTATGTCTATTCCTACAGTTGTAGTGTATTTAATTATGTCGATACTGTGCTTTTATGGAAAATTAAAATCAATTTCCTATAAATAATGGTAGATAATTGCCTTTACTACTAATTTGTATGCCGTGATGCCTTATTAAGTCTATTTATTTAAAGATACTTTTATACAATCAGATTATACGTACGAATCTGCTTTGCTACATGTTTCAAGCAAATTTCAAAGCTACTGGCGATGAAGTGATTAAAGGAGTACGTTAATTTTCCACTCCTGCTAACACATATAAGCAAACGTATCTCGCTAAAACAGGAATACTTAGCCCCAAGGAATTCGCACAATACAGTTCGATAACATAATTTAAGACTTTGTATGAGAAAATTATAACTTTGAGAAAGCTTATTGAAACAGCATCCTGTTTATTGATTTATTATATACCTACTAACCTACTCTAATAGAGAAGATGCATTTATTTAAAGGTAAAGAACATAAATATTGTATACTTATATGCACCTATTCATCAGGTATAAAAGAGACAGGAAGGAAAGACAACGGTTATGTTTCAAAAATTTAATTTTAATTGTACTAATCCCTACCGCAATCCTCCAAATCGCGCTGTTACAAGGACAGCGCAGATACAAATCTCCTTATCTTTCTGGTCACCTTGTAGTATAAAGTAGCTAAACCCGTTCATATATTTCGTAAATTTTGACATTAAATATTTAATGAATGCCGAATAAACAAACTGTGTAAAATTGTATTTTTAAAAACAATTTATCCTGAACTGGTGTTGTCCTGCTTCCACGCCACGTTCGGCATCGAAATAGAACCTCTGAAGAAACTCGCTAATGCTAGCAAAACGTAGGAAGCAACTCCAACCGACGCGACGGCCTTTACACCCGAATCAGGACAACACCAGTTCTCCAACTGGCCGCGAAAGCCTTTAACAATTTATTCTTCTCAGCATTGTGGCGCATCTGGCATGCCTCGTTTAGTAATGTTTACATCTGAAGAATCACACTATTCGACCCACAAATTTGCTGCCTTTTTGGGTATAGGAGAAGATAACGTAATAGGAGTTAAAACAGATGATGTCGGAAGAATAATCCCGGAAGATTTGGAACGTACAATTGCAGAGGAACAAGAAAAAGGGGGTGTACCGTTTATGGTAGTTGCAACCATGGGTAAGGAAAACTTAATCCATCATCATCATAAGGTCGTCAATCCTAAGACTGTGGTTAGACACGCACCTCCACCCTTTCGTATCATGAGCTAATCTTCGCATTTCCCTAAAACTAGAACATCCCAC